TGTATTACCAAATGTCAGAGCGCGTCACAGAGGGTGCGGGGGTGTAAAAAAATGGCAAAAAAAGCGTCACGTATTTTCTGAATGACCCCTCGATAATAGCAGCAACAGTAATAAAAATAAAAACACAATCAATTTAACAACAAAGGAACAGTAACAACATACTGCAGGCACAGAATACTACACAGAAGTCCATCTCCATTGTTTTTTGCGTAAGCGTTATTCGTCATGATTCGTCACTCAGCAAGTACCGTAAACAGAAGCAGTCACCCCCCTGGACATGCGCCATTTTTAGTATTTCCAGGGGGGGGCTGCTTCTGTTTACGGTACTTGCTGAGTGACGAATCATGACGAATAGAGCTTACGCAAAAAACAATGGAGATGGACTTCTGTGTAGTATTCTGTGCTGCAGGGGCTTCGGTGGCGTAACTAGTTGTCAGAACAAGCGCCTTTCACCTCTGAGATCGTGGGTTCGATTCTAGACTTGCTCCAAGTCTCTCTTTCATTGTCATATACTGTCGATCCACTATAGTGTACACTACATGACGTAGTACGGAGGGGCGGAGCGAGAAAGAGAGACTTCGGTCAACTTCGGAAAACCTCGGTTCAAAACTGAACCGAAAATGCAAGCCTTGCTTTAATTGTTTTCTGTCAGTGTTTATATGTATTGATCTAGCACAGTGTAAATAACATGAGTTCCATTATAGTAAATAATACAGAAAGAAATTGAAGGAAAACAAATAAAGCAAGTCTTGCACATTTTCGGTTCAGTTTTGAACCGAGATTTTCCGAAGTTGACAAGTCTCTCTTTCTCGCTCCGCCCGTCCGAACTACGTCATGTAATGTACACTATAGTGGATCGATACTATATGACAATGAATGAGAGACTTTGAGCAAGTCTAGTTCGATTCACGCTACGGACCCATGTGAAAAGTCAGTCAACGCTTTGCCAAATGTCGTGGGTTTCCTCCGGGCGCCCCGGTTTCCTCCCACAAGGAACATTGATCGGGTGGGTTAGGATAAACATAGTTAGGAAAGTAATGTTACAATTGTTGTAAAGCTAAATAGTCTGGGCAAAAGTAAACGTAATACTTCATGTAATCGTATCGGTCACTGAGAAACCCCGGCCGTTATGAAGTGAGCTGAATTAGAAACACTTTAACCAAACCATATACGATGTTAAACTTCATATCGAAATTGAGTCACAAATGGAGAAATGTGAGAACCAACATGGTACTTGTTTCAAAGATGGATTTGAACTATTCACATATAACGGTGAAGGCGAACCTAAAGTCCTATTTAATAAAAATCCAGAAGTTAACGTTGACAAAGAAAGACAAAAAAGCAAGGGAACTCTTCCACAATAATTTTACATATCTTGGTGACATTATATTGGAAACGCTACAAGTAAAGAACTAGTGAATACGACATTTACCTTAAATCTTAATGAATTTCGTGAAATTACGTTTGGGATTAAATCTAGAGGTGGTTGTGGCAAAGTCATTCGGATAAAAGTCTACTATTAATGTAATGGAATGGAATGATACTAGCATCAAAAGAAAGAAAATATTTTAAATCCTTGATATAAAATAAATGATGTCATTTTCTTAAATTCCTTCGTTTTCTTCACATGTATTTCGTTTTCATTACTTAGATTAAATTTAATTAAATAAATCAAATGTTGTTACATGAAAGTTCAAATTTTAATTTCTATTTCAAATCATAAACCTATTATAAATACCATTATAGATGTCTCGAGAAAAATACACCGCGTGACATTAATAAAAGTGTTTTAATCACATTTCGTTTAGGACGGAATAATTTATATCTTTCGCCAGTTTTTATTGCCCTAATAAACCTAATTTGTATATCAAATCCATTTTTCCCACAAACGAATTCTCAAAAATTGAACCCGGCGCCTCATCATTTTCATTCTAAAATCTAAATTATTTCTTGCTAGCTACATTTATATTTTACGTGGTGCAATTATGTTATTCTGCATAATTTCTTCTGAATATACAAAAAAGAAAGTTTAGACAAAGTTCTAATAAGGCATTGTGCCGTAATTATTAAAATGTTTTATCCCACTCTTCGCCGGCTGGGTTATTGAATAGAAGGTTTTGTGGCTTCCTGTCACAAGTAGATGCCTTTCGATTGTCTTGCCCACTCATATAATGACTCATTATTAAACATTAACATATTAACATATTTTAATATTAAGTATCAAACCTGTAAACACTGCTAAGTTTAAGATAAACTTTATAAGCTATACACCTATACACCGCTTGTCGGGCTTTGCTTTTGAAGTGTTTCAAGTTAAATAGATCGAAGGAAAATCAGTGACGAAACTATTACTCTAAAATAAAAGAAGGGTTTCCTTTAGTAAACGGTATAGGTTGGCGAAGTCGTCATCGATGTTTGTCGACTTGCGGTGAAAAATTGTGGCTTACATCGCCCAGCTAGTGGAAATTTACTCAGTTCAAGCAGCTAACTAAGGTATGTTTGTTTAAACAAGATGAGCTAATTGTAAACCATTTGAAATGATCGTTTAATATTTTCCCATAAATCCTAGCATATTAATAAGTTCTGTATACTAGCTGGGTTAAAATGTAACATATTAACGTTATATATTATATATTATATTCGCTTTTAAGATTCGCCGAATTCAGAGCAAGCCAGTTACATATTAGTCAAGCTAACATCCTTCCTACGTTAACTACTGTAGATCTACATGTTATATATGTCTCTAAACTAGAGTTTCTATCGAGCCGATTCCTAAGGCTATAATATAGATCGATATGCTCATACATTTTGGCAAGTACACTTTCACAATATATATAGTATTAAGAGGCTAATAACGGATCCCCTATGATTTTTCATAAACTTTTTATCTTATGTTTCGTAATAACAAAAACATATCATGTTACAATCTTGAATTACTATATTTAAACATGACAAATATTTGATATTTTATACCGATATGAGATATTTCATTGAAAATTTATTTATTTCAAAATGAAATGGCTGTCGCACTAGCCAAGCGCAAACGAGAAGTCACAATAAGAACAAGGACAAAGTCACAAAGCCAATTTTTTCCCTTTAATGTCGTTGTCTCAGGACCTCTCAGATATTTCACACAGACTCTGCCTTGCTATAGTACCAATTGTATTATTTCTTATTCAACACACTTCTTTGACATGTGCAATTCTTTGTCTCTCGTTTTTTTAAGAGCTGGTGCTTTAGAAGCAATCATAAAGGCAACTGTCGATATACCCATAAATGGACAATTGCTTGAAGTTACTTTCAAATTACTAAATTGTGGTTAGGTTTAAAATAAGAGTCGGAGTATATGCGTACATGAAAAATGCATGTACTCGATATTTTAAAATTCAGATGCTCATTTCAACTGACATGAATACTGCATGAAATGCCATTATTTGAATGTTAGTGAGTCTATAGTATAAAGTATATTGTTTGAATGAAATTATAAGGCACTTTTACTTTATAAACATTAAAGAATTAGTGTAATTTGAAACTAAATTTCATTGTAAAAAAGCTTTAGCTCAGCAGGTATATCAAAAACAAAATAGCGTTATTAGCAATTCATATCTGCAACAAAACGGATGGCAGCGACATGTTGCTCTTACCATAATCCTTTGCAAACTTTCTCATTTTCATTTACTGATTGTCAAGAATCTCTAAATATATATAACAATTTCATCATCAATTGCCTCCAACCGTGTGTCAATATAGGCTTGTAAATTACAAACATTGAACAATACAATCATAGTTTATGAGAAACATCGATATTCTTTTATAATTTTGTTTATGAAAGCAGAAACAATAAAATGAATAAAATTTTAAAAATTTACAGGCGAGTTTACTCATTACTCAAATGTGAACCATGAAGTAAACAAATGATTTTTTGGCATGGCCGCCTCACAATGAATGTGCTTGTTATAATTTGAAGAAGCAGCTTGTTTGCATTTAACAATATCAAGGATATCCTTGCTTGGCTGCTTTGTCTCTTGTCTAAGTAGTTGTAGTGGCACCAATATAATTTATGCATATATATGCATCTTTAGTTCATAATGTATACTTATATCATATGTGTATTTTAAATCTTTCTGGTACACAATTCACAAATATTTGTTAGATATATTTCCTTTTGGTCAGTAATTATTACTTTACAATGGCTGAATGATAACGTTATTATTTGATAATAAGAGAAACAATAGTTATTGAAACTAGAAAATAGAACTTTATGGCCATTCACGTTGACTGTTTTAATACTTCTACAGTTTCCCTATACATATATTTTCTGCCATACAAAATATTGTAAATACATAAAATATTTCCTTTTGTTCATTGTTTCGGGGAGAAATAATATTATTATTGTTGTTTGATCATTATGAAAAGACCAATTATAATAATAATAATAATTGAAAAAAGTCATCATATTATTATACCACAGCCTTGTGGCATATTGGCTGTCTGGTAAATATAGCTTCTTTGTCTCTGCCATTCCCTAACTATTGACTGACGTAAATAATATTACTGTATTTCCGCTCGATTTTTAAAAATACTAAACTCTCATCTTGGCTTTTACAGAAACACTGAAAAGTTCAAAGAATCATGAATTTGTGGATTTTTGCAATTTTTTGTTCCTCATTTTTTCAACTCGCAATTTGTGCAGAAGAAGGTAAATATCATCTACATGTATATTCCAAACCCAAAATTGTAATCAGGTCAATATATTCAAAGTTGAAGCCCGTTACAGACGAGAAAGTTTTTTTATGGCAAGTTGTATTTGTCATTTGCATGCATGTGTACACGTACGACAAATTTTCAGTCTATGACAAGTTTTTGGTTTTCTAACCTCCACGAATCCACGATAGCTGTTTTTAGCTATTACAACAATGGATGGCCGACCAACCGCATGCAAGCGCTGAAATTACTTACTTTGTCAAATTTTCTTTGTTCGACCCAGCCGTGCAAACGTTGACGTCAGCATGGCGTTTAACTAAGTTCCCATATACATAGTTAAAACTGGCAAAGTTGCCTATACAGACGGGCAAATAGAACTTCTCATATGAAACCCGTCATAGAAAACTTTTCTATAGAGTTGTAAACCTATATCATATGTAATTTTTAAACTTGCCTCAATTCACATGATTCTGATGATAGAACTATAGTATTAGTCAAGAAAAAAATCAATCTTTGTTCATAATTTATTTATTGAACGTTCTCTGACTAAATATTTATTTCTACGAGCTTTCGGCTATCAGTCTATAGCCTTCGACGGGTGTATACAAAGGCTATAGACTGATAGCCGAAAGCTCGTAGAAATAAATATTTAGTCAGAGAACGTTCAATAAATAAATTATGTTTCAACCTGGCTACGCATCCTCTATTTTTTCAATCTTTGTTCAATTTGAATTTTTATTTTTGTTCACTTTAGTTATCAAAGATACAACATTTGTTGATTTCGGGGTCAAAGATTCATACATTGTATATGGGAAAGGACAACAGGTATAAAACTTAATTCTGTGTTAAGGTGGCCAAGAAGTGTGAGGGGCGAGGTGTAATCCTAATTTCCCAGCCAAAACTACATATCCCAGTCATCCAATCTACTGATTTCCAACTTCCATTTCCACCAGCAAAATTGCTGTGGCGCAAATCCCATTCTGAAGCGGTTCAATTCCATTTTCCAGTGAAAAAATTGGCAAATCCCAGCTTCACCTCTTCGCTACTCTCTATTAATAACTACGATGTATAACATATTTCAATATTTTCCATGCTATACTAACTCGAATCCTCAGAGCCCATTCCTTGTGCTTGTTGAGACTGACGAAAACTTTTTTCAATAGTTTAAAATGGAAGGGGTTGGCTATCGCACATGTTCTGGCGGAATAGAAAATGAAGTATGGCTAGTCGCAAACACCTTAAACGTTAACCAAACCATATACGATGTTAAACTTCATATCGAAATTGAATCACAAATGGAGAAATGTGAGAACCGACAAGGTACTTGTTTCAAAGATGGATTTGAACTTTTCACATATAACGGTGAAGGCGAGCCTAAAGTTCCATTTAATAAAAATCCAGGAGTTAACGTTGAAAAGGAAAAGGAAAAAGCAAGGGAATTCTTTCACAATAACTTTACATATCTCGGTAACATTACTGGAAACGCTACAAGTAAAGAGCTAGTGAATACGTCATTTACCTTAAATCTTAAAGAATTTCGTGAAATTACGTTTGGTATTAAATCTAGAGGGGGTTGTGGCAAAGTCAATCGGATGAAAGTCTACTACTATGTTTGTGATCAGACATTTATAAAGAGTGTCATGTTTAAGAAGACATCAGCACCTCAAAATGGAACCACAGAAGTGGTTGGTAATTGCTCCGCCAACACAGTTCCGGTTTCAAGTATGGGTAACTTGAGAGCATATTGCCACAGTAATGGATCTTGGAGTACAGAAGAGGATAGGGATATAGTGTGCATGTGTGTTAAAGGATATGAACCTACAACTAATCATGGATGTTCTGGTATGTTTTAAAATATATAGTTAATATGTAGTCGCAGTGTACTCCACATGTAGATAAGCTGTGAATATTTCATTAAAATGTCGTGAATATTTAATTATAAACCGATGGACGTACGGTTTTAAAGTATAGTCTAATTATAAGAAGCTCTTCTTTTTAAAGCAACTATACTATTATATTTAGCATGTCAAAGTGGCTTGTACAAGCCGTCGGATTCAAACAAGGATTGTATGAAGTGCCCTAAGAACACAATCAACAACACGAACAGAACAACTTGCGTTTGTATAAGTGGATATTACGAACTTCCAAGTGATATTAAATCTGAAAATCCACCACTCTGCTACGGTAGGATATAAACAAATAATTTACTTATATTTGGGGGAATAGATAAATACGTAATTAGTATAGGGTCGGGCGGTTCAGGGTAAAAACCGAAAACCGTCTAGAAAAACCCCGAAAAAAACGATGTTTTTTAATGAAAATTTCTTTATGAAAATTTAAAGGAAATTTCATAAAATAGTGGAAACACTGGGTAAAAAAAATATTGCGAATTACGAATATTTCGGTCTTATTTTCGCTTTTACACATATCTGAAATAAGCAAGGGTACAGAATATGAATTGTTTGTAAGCCACCGCTATACGCCAGAAATCCGCCTTCTTTTCACGCGTGTGATCCGCTTGAATCGGTTTTTTCGGTTTTATCAATAAACCGCCCGACCCTATAAGTAGTTTGACAGCACAATGTGTTATCACATTATTTTTTTTTGAAATCTAACATACCCTGGACCTCTCTCAGAAGAATCCCAAGATCAGTTATTTTTGTTGGCAATTAAATTTTTCATAGTCCCACTAAAACCTATATTGTGCAATTTCATGTAAAGCAATTCATCTAAGATAAATCAGTTTTGGTAATATTTCTATAACTTATAGTTGTGTACTATCTTTCAGCTCCAATAAAGATCGAAAGTAAACCGACGGTTGATAAACAACTCGACGACGACAACAGTGTAAACATTACTTGGTCTCCACTAGTAAATAAGAGTGGAATTCCAAACGAAGTCATCGTTTATGACATACTCTGCTATATTTGCATTGAGTCTGTTTGTAACAAGAGCTGTGAAGATTTGACGTACATTCCCAATCAGTATAACGTTACCAGAACGTCTGTTCGTGTATCTGGGTTGGTTCCTGGTCAAAGTTATAAGTTTAGAATTTTCCCCAAGAACAATTTGAATTACAGAATTCCAAAAGAAGATTGGAATTTTATCGAAAGTGAACCATACACTTTTCAATCGAAAGGTAATATTCTTTTGTCGTGTTATTTATGTATTATTTCACCCATATAAAATATCATTGTAAAATGGTATAATTATCGTAAAATATAATGGTAACAAATTCTGACGGTTTGTTTGGATCTTAACTCGTCTTCAATCGCCTAACCTCGCATTATCTTGCGGCAAGTTTAGGCCAGTTACCACCCCAGAGTAGGCCTTCATTTCCATGATGGCAATTGTTGTGACAACCGTGACTTTAACTAGAATAAATTTAACATTTCTTTCAGACAATATGAAAGAATCCAAAGGAGAAAAATCTAATCTTACTTATTTGGTTGTAATTGTTAGCGTGGGTTGTTTAACTCTTCTTCTCGTTTTCTTCTTAATTGCTTTCTTCCTGAGGTAAATATTGAATGCATGAGTCTCATAATACATGTGCCCAACAAGATGAATTTTCTTTGTATACTTTACCTTGTAAATATATTAAGAAGTTCAATATTCATATTTCAGAAAGCGAAAAGAAAAGAAAAGCCTATTCCCTGGACTCATAACCAACGGAGGTAGGTAATTTGAGTGTTCAGCTCACTTTCTATATAAAAATGATCACGATCGTAGTTTCAAACTTTCTACAAAAATTATTTAAGGACAGTAGATGAATTACGAATGTTCCGAGTATATGTAATACTAATGTATCTTCATCTGAACGTTGTTAACTCCTCCGCATTCGTTCACATACCAGAGAAAGAAAAACGCACCTAAAATCGCAACACAAATTGCAAGTGTAAACGGACCTTGAAAAAACAGAACCTTTGACAAGCACCTCCATAAAAAGTTGCAACTGCCGCAGGTCGTCTTGCAAATTTCTATTATTACAGGCAAACTACGTCAAGCGTTGCTTTACTGAGTTCCTAATTTTATTGTAATTTACATTTGCAAACTTGAAAAACTTCCCTCCCAATTCGATTTGATTATATCGTAAGAATTTTCTTGGTCGCCGACTTATTCGCTTTTACGTAATTCAGTTCTTGACGTAGACTTGTTTCGTGACTGCCCATATCACAAAAATTAAAATAATCTAAAGTTCTTTGATTGAAGTATAACAATAAAGTTCGTTTTGTGTTTGCCCAAGTCGCATGTTTTCAAAACCAAGTTACTTTTCTTTTCTGTTCAATTTTTCCAAAATCTGCCATTTACGTTTTTGAAAGATCAGTTTGTATTGTGGGTTATGCGCAAATCGAACTTTACCTCGACTATAGTTTATAGTGTAATGTAAATATAATTGCATGTAAAGTTTATAAGGGGGGTGCTTCGCATGGGCTTTTCCTGACCCGTTCGCACTTTCCCTATTTATTGTTATTGTTAATATTCAATAAAGTTATAAAGATGATTGAGGTGACGAGGACTCAAACAAAGAGAATATGGAGTTGATAAGCATGATAAATCTCTTTGACCAGATTTCAGATTTCTTCCAAAGCCAGTAGAAAAAATCTGTGAAAGATTTCGAAGAAACAGTTGTCAAAGAAGTACTTGTAGAGAAGAAGCAACAAATTACGAAAATGAAGTTGACTCTCAAATTTCCTAGTTATTCCTAAAAAGAAATTAAGTCCACTACTTTTTCATAGTTGAGTTGCCAACAAGGGGTAAGAAGACATACGTGGACCCCACAAATTACGATCGACCTGAAGATGCTATCTGTGAGTTTGCAACAGAAATCGATGCCTCTCGTTTGTATCTGGAGATGCTTATTGGTGGAGGTAAGAATGTACTTTCTTTAGGTATTTATGATATATGAAACAGTTTTTTGTGCTTGTTTATTTTTAATTTTGTTCTAGTTGTTTTCGTTTGTTTGTCTGTTGTAACAAACGTTCCCATCTCCGAGAATTGTTAATTATAAAATCAGTTTCATCATCATCTTAATTGATGAAAGAATGCAGCCAACAAATAAAATGAAAACGAACTGAATTCAAACAACGAAATTCAATTTGTGATCAGGCAATACATATATATATATTTAGTTGAAACATGCAGGCAATCTGATAATACATTTGTGGTTTGTTTGAACAATTATAATTTTTAAAATATTACATATAATGAATTTGGTGGACTCAACTCCATAAAATCCTAACTCCTAATCTCAGCCCTTATCCTAACCCCTACGCTAGCCTATTACACAATATTTATATACATTCCAATCCAATCCTGAATTGTAAATATGGTTTTATCGCCCTAACTGCTGTTTTCCTGGTGTTCAATATCAAAATTATGGGCTACATTCCTTTGGGCTACATAAAGTACTAAGTGCTGGATAATTTGGATAAGCCTTAATTTAAGGATGCTTATCATATTGTTATGCAGGTGAATTTGGTGATGTTTACAAGGGCTCAATGACTGATGCAGACGGAAAAAAGCATCCAATTGCAGTAAAAACACTGAAGGTAAGTGGCATGCATGAAGACAACGTTTCATAGTTTTTTTATATTTGGTTAATAATTCAGAAAAGAATTATTTAAGAACTGTAGAAACCTACTGTATATATGATTTTTGTGTTACTATAATGGTGCGATATATTTAATATGTTTAGAAAGATGCTACTGCAAAGAGTGAAAAAGATTTTCTAATGGAGGCATCGGTGATGGGTCAATTTGATTGTCCAAATGTTATCAAACTTGAAGGCGTTGTCACTAAATGTAAGCATGGAGCAACTTTTATATAATTCAATTAGATCAACAGTAGTTGATGCCAATTTCTTATTATACAAAAGTAACACAGGCATCTGGTATAGTTATTGACAGATAATCGTATCGGCATCGGGCCGATTTCGTAAAAAATCAACATGAATGACATCACCTTTACTCAATACTCAGTCAACTGATATTATGACGTCATTATAAAATCGCATCAGTATTGGGTAGATTTTGACATGAATAATAGGTAATCGGTAATTTCCGATTGTTGCAGGGTCGGTCAATCACTAATCTGGTATATGTGCGAACACATAAAAAATTTGTGCCGGGTTCACACGGGAGTCCACAAATGTTAACAACCACACCATACAATGCATATTTACAATTCTAATTGCCCATTTTCAAAATTAGAGTTGAGTATAAATTGACATGTCAGTTTTATGTCACAAAGTTCAAATTGTTTACAACTTTCAGTTTTGTGATTCGTTACTGATGTATATGCTTGCGATGACTATGAAAGACCAGTGGCATAGCCAACCCGACAATTTAGTCCTGCTATGCAAATTCAAAATTATTATCATTATTCATTTCTTTAGAAATTGATTGTTTTCACAGTCAATGAATACGATAATATTTGCATAGCGGGACTAAATCGTCGGGCTGGCTACGCTACTGTGAAAGACAGAATGACTGCGGAATGGCATGCGTTATGAGTTGTGGAATGAAAAATGACATCAAGTACTATGTAAACAAACCACTTTATCTAATAACACAGGCTCCATAAAAATCGGTATTAAAAGGCAGAATGAGTTTGGGAATGGAAAATTAAATGAACTATGAAGTATCCACTAAGATTCACTATTACACTATTAAATATGTCTTTATCTAATAACACTGGCCCAAATTTTTTTTACTGTATATATTAAAATACAATGTTTTAATTATGATATTAAAATCATATAAAGTATTTTTATAGTATCTTATAAAGGTGAATTTTGACACTAAATACAATACTAAAATAGGGCTCTGGTGTGCTGTTTTAGAACTATATTGTGTTGAAATAAGTTTGAATACAAATGAATATTTGAATATTATAAAATATATACATTTACAGACATAAATATTTATGCAAACTTACCATGTTTTATGTTGGTCAAGAAACACGAGGCATCGAGGAGATATTTTATGGAGCCCGCGTTATTAGAAAAAGCGGTTTATTTATTCTGTACTTGATGTAATTTTTCACTCCCCGACTCATTCCGCCTGGGAACGAGGTTGATTCCGCCTTTTATAGTCACCGATATATGCTTGGCATGCATTTTTTTTTAAAGACCCTTTAAAAGTTAAAAAAGATTTTCAAGATATTTTAGTGACCATTATTGCAAAATTTTAGCAAAACAGAATAGAATCAATTAAATTAAATTACCGCTATAATCAGGCGCAAAGATTTGTCAAAATCCAGTAACTCATGGCACGCTCGCATATACCAAAATCCGGTATAGTGCTCTTGATATACTAAAACAATACATTCTCCTTCATTCGCACATGACATAGTTATTAATTTGTAAAATGTATATCATACGGTTATCCCTGAATCTATATGATGTATATCATCATTCAAACACGTTGAGAATTTGACCCTCGCCTTACCCCACCAGGCACCTCCCACTCTATCCCATTCTGGAGGTGATGGAAATCTCCCCTCAGGTCCTCAGGAGGAAACCTCCCGCGAACCGAAGGACAGAGTTTGTACATCCGATACGACATGGAGGCGAATGTTGTAAGTGGCTTGTGAAACGTCATGATAAGAATGATTCGTATTCTTCAGCAATTTAAAATCTGAAGTGAATGAAATTTCGGAGAAAATTGAAATTAAAATTATGTAAATCAACATGATTCTTGTATCAGATATACTAACTCCTTCACGCGCTCATGATTTCTTTTGTGTTTTCCACATAAACTATTCAGTATTGAGTTTCACAATTATAATTGGTGCATTTTAATGTCTACAGTCCGACCATGGATGATTATAATCGAGTTTATGTCCAATGGATCTTTGGATCACTTTCTTAAGGTATATATAAATATAATATTCTTAGTAGAGAGTACAGATAAATGAGGACAAAATTATGAATGAGGACAAAAAATTCAATAAGAGTAATAATGATAATAATTTCGGCGAATCCAACTTGTTAGCAAAGGATCTTCAGTAAAAATATATCAATTAAACTTAATTTATTTCGGCAGGCGAACGACGGAAGACTATCGCACCTAGAATTGATTACCATGGCTAAAGGAGTTGCTGTGGGCATGGAGTATCTTGCTACGATGAAATTTGTTCATAGGGTACGCATACACGATAATCGATATATACTCACTAACTTGATAATCGTTATATACTCACTAACTTTTATTCATTGTATTTGTTTTTATTGTTAGTTCTATTGATTATATATTACGTGTATTTAATTATTTGTTGTCCAGGTTCATATACATTTTTCCTTCGTCATATTTAATTGGGGGGAGTGAATAGGTTTTCGGATCTTCGGATTTCACAGAAAAAATTGTTCGGATTTCGGATCTGGCGAATATTGTCAATATTTTACACGGATTTGCCGATCTTATTAATACAGCGGATTGCGGATTTATCTAATATTTTGGCTCGGATTGTGGATTTAGCTTGCAATTTAGTTCGGATCCTGCATTGTAACTTCATAGTAGAGCTTTCAGCGGATTCAAATTTAGACAAGACAATTGTCGCATCGCGGATTTTGCTTCAAATTTGGGCGGATCGGCGGACTTTTTATTTTCTTTATCTCCATTTCTTATCACATAGCAATTTGTTTGTTTGTTTGTTTGTTTGCTTGCTTGTTCGTTCGTTTGTTTGTTTGTACTAAGGGGCCTGATATGAGCTTGGCCAGCCGGAATAAATCGTGTCAGTGTCACGAAATTTTTTCCTGTCCATAAAGATTGTTTGATCATCTTATATTGTTACTGGAATCAAATCATTCGACTTTGATGTTTATCAAAACTGTGATAATTAAGAGTTTTTTTAAGTAAACGAATCATCCTTCTAAATCGGGCCGGCTCCTGGCTCCATATGAACAGCTCTTCACTTTAACAATCAATTTTTACAATCAACTTACGCCCTTGTAATTAGTATACTGACCATCGTGTGGTTATATTTATTGATATAAATAATTTATCCATTTTCTATCCTTAATGATACTAGGATCTTGCCGCACGTAATGTTTTGGTTGATGGAAACTTGATTTGTAAAGTTTGTGATTTTGGCCTGTCACGTGAACTCGAAACGACCGATTCATCGCGTGGAGAATATGCCACCACCGGCGGAAAAATCCCAATACGATGGACAGCTCCAGAGGCGACGAAATATCGTAAATTTTCCTCAGCCAGTGATGTTTGGAGTTTTGGTATTTTACTCTGGGAGATTATGTCGTTTTCTGAAAGACCTTATTGGGAATGGGATAACTTCAAGGTAAGCTAAGTGAAATAGTAGAAAGGGCATATTCGCAAAAAAGACCACGACCACCACCAAACAAACTTTTGAAACTTGACAAGATTGTATGGGAATCTTGTCCTGTATTTCTATCGCATGAATTAAAAAAAAAACAAATTCAGACTAGAATAACAGGGTTTTTACAAGGGTAGGACAATTTCAAACAACTCTTTTACAAAAGCTGTACTTGTCATGGCTTATAATGATTTATTGATAATTATCATAATATACTAATTGTTTTCATTTGTTATATATAGGTAATGGAAGAAGTAGATAAAGGATTTAGGCTTCCAGCTCCACTTGTAAGTAATAATTTGCTCCTTGTATGCAGAGATAGTATAATTAATTATCTATAAGACTATATAACTTTTGTTAAAACACAGCATATATTTATTTGCAAAACTTTCGATTCGTAAAGCCTGGTTTACAATATAAACGTTTCTTTGATCCGGCAGCTATGATTTTAAATGAAGTTTAACTTTCAGTTTAGAAGAGCAAAAGTAAAAAGTTGGTTTTTATTTCCTTCAAACAAAAGAATACTGCACATCGTGAATACGATATCGGTCTATGTATCAATCCAGATCGGTTGTGCATTCCGGATACCACAAATTGCCCCAGGATTAGGATTCCGTATTCCTCCAATGTTTAAATTCTGGATTGCACTGTCTGGATTTCAGATTGCAAAGTTATTAAAAGTCGGATCATTCTGGATTCCTGGATCACCTTCTGCATTGCTGAATGAAGCTTAGTGAAACATCACTTGAAGCCGGCATGGTTCTATTAAGTACATAGCAATGAGGAATTATACAGGATCTAACTCCATGAAAAAATTATTTTAATGACAATTAAGTTGATATCAATTTTGGCGTACTTTGTAATCCTGTGAAAGCTGCAGTCTGACAGCCGAATGCTCGAATGTTAACAAATTATTTGTGCAGAGAACAACTGTTTTTCTAATTACACTGGCGAATTATTAAAAACAAATTTCTATTCTATAGAACTGTCCAAAAGGCGTCCACGACCTCATGATGGAGTGTTGGAAACAAGATCGCGTCGTACGTCCAAATTTCACCGAAATAAATGCCGTCATTGATGGTTGGATCCAGGCCCCTAAAACGATGGAAGGAGACGTCGATCTGTGTGCCGCCCTGCGTGAATGGCTTCAATCGATCAAAATGGAAGAATACGTGAAAAATTTTACAGCAGCGGGATATCAGAGACCTTGTGAGCTATACGGGATCAAAGAAGACGATCTGAAGGAGATGGGAATAAATTTGGTCGGACATCGTAACAAAATATTGAAAGGTATCAGAAATTTGCAGGGAAAGAAGAAGGGAGGAAAGCAAGCATTGAAACGAGAGGTTTCACTAGAAGTTTAAGGTTTTGAATTCTGACCGAAACCTTCTCTCAACATTCTTCAAATGAAGGTGAATGAGTCGACGTTTGCCAGTTTCGAAATAGTTGTTATAATTATACCTTGGCTTTTTGCCAAGTTACCTCATGGATTGCCAGGCAATGGATCAGTACATTGGGATAATATACGGGAAATTGTGCAGACTGATACGTATAGGAGAACTGAATAAATTTTAAACTATAGATAATAGACTATAGTATCGCAGTCAGCGAAAGACATTCGTCCTTGTTAACCTACTCCAGAACTTGTTTATAAATAGAACTTAGCTCTTATTTGCCTGTCGAGTGAAGCCCTTTGCTAATTAAATATTGTATATATTTACTATTTAGAGTGAAACATATCATACACCATAATAATAAATAGTTGAAGATTAAGATATTTATCAATAACAATAACAATAACAATAACAAAGCCCTTATAGTGTTAAAGCCCTTAAGCATAATAGTTATTACATGTTATGAGTAAATAGCCGATACACTTTAACAAGTACATAATCCCAAGTCCAAAACTATAACTCAGCAAATAAGACAACCAAGAAGGCTAGCTTCTATCTCGTACCATGTAGCCAGGATGCTGTTATAAAAAAGTTGCGAATTTCATTTGTTATTTCAAAATATACATGTCAATCTTAAATCATTAATTCTTATTGGTCCAGAAGAATTAAAGGAGAGGAATAGAATTACCCCGGCTGGCCCGCCCATTGCTTTTCGCTTAAGGAAATCCATTCTTGCCCTGAAAAATGAATAAAGATTTGAATCGTGGATTAGTAATGCATGCAATCATTATGTTCTAATTAAAGAAAAAAGATGCATAGCCCGTTACATATATCGCTCATGATCAGTGCTGGGAAAGCCATCGACGTCAAGGACAGCTATAACCAAACTCTCGTAACTCTCTTAACGGCTATGATCGTTTGCCATGACGTTCACCCGTAGGGCGTTCAACTCTGGTAAAATTATTTTAAACGACAACTAGAAGAATTAACATGGACTAGTTTTTTTGCAGTAACGATGCAAATTGAATAAATAAAATTGCTCCTTATCCCTTTTGGATCAGAAAATTGATTAACGCGAATTTAGTAGTTAATATGTTAATTTGTACCCAGGGTCTTATCTAGGTAGATTCACTGATCTGAGGTAGAGTCCCTGGCTTGCTAGGTTGATTGGATTTTTGGTGTGATACCGCGTGTGTTATTATTATTATTTACATACATGTAATAATGTTGAGAATTCAAGCACTTTCATTGGTCGAGAACCATGATCTATTAGAGGACAGACACACGGAATTAAGTCACACAAAACCTTATCCAATAGCATTCCCTTATTTGTATAGATCATGTACGCGCGATATTTGTAAAATTTCATATGTTTGGGTGGATAAAAAGTAAGCTATTTACCTGTTTAATTCGGGGCTTTTCTTTTTATTATGTAAAACAAATAGATAAGATTTTGCCGTTGTTTGTAACTCAGTTATAGACATACAGTATGACGTCATACTGTGTATCTATAACCGAACAGACAACGCAAAATCTTATCTATTTGTTAAATAGATCTAGACGTCCAAATAGTTTCCTGGATTACAATGCTGGTTTGCATGCATATTATACAGTAATTTACACAGCCCGATCTCTTACAACTCGAGTTACACAACCCCCTCTTATACGCACGCTCTATCACAACACTCTGAAGTTGAGCTGCACTTCTCAGAATTTTTTACAGCCGGCCTCCACAGTATGATATTTGAAACTTTAATATTCAATCAGTTTAAATTAGCCTTTGCCCTCTGGATAATTTCATTAATCTTAGAAAAACAAAAAGTCTGAGTTTTCCTTTTCATTGGATGGTTACTCTGATGGTAGACGTATTTATTACTTTCGTTTCGAATGTTTTGAATGCATGGTACAGTAACTTTAATATTTATTTATTTATTTAGCTTTGCCAACTAAGGCAAAGTCAACCACCCTGTCAACTTTCCCTGTGGGAGAAGAAAAAAACACAACTTACACAACTCGCTTGCGGCCCCCGTATGTACAAGTGCCATATATGCATTCCAAACTGCAACACTCAGAATCTGAATTGTACGTCATATATATACGTCTACAGCTTCTTACGAATCTGTAACAAGATATAAAAATTATCATGTTTGAAAATTCTTAATATTCAATCAGTTTAAATTACCCTTGGCCTTACCGTCCTTACCCTCTGGATAATTTCAATAATCTTAGCTGCAAGGTTGAGAACTTGCTACAAGGTTGTTGAGTTCAACCGACTTGTTACAAGTTCTTAACTTGTTATCTTCCTACAAATCACCAATTTGTCAACAAATTGTGAGTGACAACCTTGTAGCAACTTAATAAAATATAACAGCCTTGTTACAACTTGTTGACAAGCTTGCTATACGGCCTGTTGCGAACACATCGATCTTGTTGACAAGTTGTGAGATTTTTATGTGTGTAGTCGTATATCCTTCTAAATCCACAACTGTCTAACTTACTCATCTCGTTTTCGTCTTTGAGGAAGATATAAACAGCACTTGTTTATGCAGACACATAAACTGTCTACAGCTATCTGCATTTGAACTATACATCTCTCGAAACAGAATGTACCACCTCTTGCGAAGATTAAAATGTATCAAGGAAACAGCTATGACAAGATATTTGAACGCTATAGAGGACTCTCAGAGATTGCATGATAAATTATCAGTGCATGAAATTATTACATAACGGGGGAGGGAACTGCGGGGGTACTACTCTTCCCCAACATTTTTTGGGGGCTCCCCCCTCCGCCCCCACCGAGTATATTATTGGGGTACCTTTTGTTCCAAAAGTAATAGAATTTAAAAACCATAGCAATTCACTCACTTGATACGAGAGCAGCAAATTTCGAATGCAGCGCAAATTTCGAGTTAATATTAGGGCTCCCCGCCCCCACCCCGTCGCAAGGTGTTTAAAGAGTATTGGCTTTGGTATTGGACATGTAGTCACTTTAATCGAAAATCTGCTCTCCCTGCGAAAAATTCACATACGGCAGCCCCTCATTTAGTATTTCAAAATAGATTAAATTAGTGTAGCGCCTGTGTACGCAACCCGCTCTAACTCGACCGCTTCCGCTGTGACATAGCGCAAACATAGCATCCATTACAGCAATCTGCCACACTACTTTAATCAAATGCATGTCGGACATGTTGATATGGCATGGACTGCTCAGATATCAGTGAATTAATATCATTATAGAACTAGATCTTGACCGGTTTATACGTTAGACCGCTTACGGGAAACAGTAACTAATTGAAATCGTATTTTGATGGTAAGTTCTACATGTTTCCCACAGCGAATTGGCTAATTCATGCTTTAGTTTTAGTGCACAAATTGCAACTACAAACAGCTAACAGTTGGCCTCAAAACACCTTTTGAAGTTTTCCGTTTGCTGAGTTAGCGGTCTGCCGTAAACTGGCGTCAATCTTATATATATGGTCTATAAATGTCTATTAGCCAACTTACTCCATTTGACTTGCACAAAATATCACCAAGATGAGTAAAGTGAAACACGTTATAGGTCTCGATGTCATTTTCCTTTTAACAAATTTCAAGAATTTTACAAATTCTATAAAGAAAATGTAGAAGTACAAACTAAGGATTATATACTGGATGAATACTTGAAGTTTTTAACATTTAAATAACCTCTCACTGTTAAGGACATTGGGACTAAAAACCGTTGTTTAATTAATTAAAACGTTTCAACTCAATTCAATTCAAATAACAACCAAAGACGAGTTTTGGGCTCATGTGCATCACTACATGCATGGTTGTCAAGCTAAAAAATTTGCGTGACCGATTGAAATGAATGTAACTGGAACGCTACTTCCAACCAGAAATTTGAGGCCAACCTTGAAGGCTAGTCCCAGGCTTTCCACGCATGTGAAGATCTGCCTCCTCCGCAGGTCCTCGTTGTCTCATGGGAAGTCAACGATTTCGAGACGACCTGCGGAATCTTGTAAAATGAATAAATGTTGTTTTGAACCTGCTTCGTTAAAGAAGGCAGTTTTATTCGTGCAACGTTGGTGTGGACAACAAACCTTATCGTTAAAAAATGCTTCCTTCCACGTCCTAAGAGTCGCCCCAACCTCGTACCCAGGATCTTTCTTTGGGAAAGACCCTGGCTGCGGCTGGTCACGTGCCTTATCAAAAATTTTGCGCCTGAGGGGGTGTGGGGAAAGTATCAAATTACATCAATATCTGTCAACATGCTTCCAGTGGGATATTCGTTAAAAACATAAATTTTGCGAATTATTACGTTCAAAATACTTGCTAATTTTTGTTTGTTTTCTTCGCTTTGAATTTACAAGAACATTCTTACATTCTTACTTACAGTTAAGTCAAGAAACCAAGCAAATCGTTACTCGCAGTGCTCGAGTCTCGTGTTGTTAGTATTCAATGCATGCTCTCTTCACACTCGAGCGCGGTTATAACAAACGTTTATTGTAATGTTTTTTAAATACGCCATTACATTCGTTCTTTCTTGTAAACGTTGATACGCTTTGCACCGATTCACTTGTTACTAGGCGTCGTGTTTAAAAGATTTTTAAAAGAGACAGTATTGTCTAGGACTGGCCCAATATTAGCAAATGTATAAAACATTTGATAATAGCCGAACAGAGAAATGTCCATAAGCATTGAGGAAATTTCAGTCATTGATTTATCTGGATTTAGTACATAATTCGTATTCGGTAATTATAGTAAGACTTTAGCCTTTTTCTTGGTCTCTATTAATCATTATATTGTGTTAACATACTATAATCTACTCACAAATTTACAGTGTCCGACGCGCACAGACCGTCATTGGCGTCATACGGACACAAATTTTCGAGTTTTCTACTTCTACTAACATTTTTAAAGTTTTCATTGTGAATCACCTGTTTATCTAGCTCTAATTCATTTAAATCATTTGCTACTTATACTCATTTGATAGTGTCATACAGTGAATAATGCGTTTACACACAAGCAATCCTGGATATGATATAGACGATGCAAGCTGTCCATTAAAAAATAATGGTATTCTATTTCACAAAGCAAAAATTTAAATCTCACTTGTATTATTAAGAATGCATATAAAGCAAATGTCAAAACGAAAGCTGTTTACAAGATTTATAAAGGTGGTGAACAGTATACTAAACAGTGCTCATTGAAAGACATGTATAATATAGTGACATATATAAATTTGTCGTTTGACTTATCTTTGGTGTATGATTTTAATACCGTATATTTTCAACAGACAGCTATACTTTGGCATATACCATGATCGTTGGTTTCAGCAATGCCAAGGGCCAATTTTATAGTCTTTTGACGGGCTTTAAGTTTTTTTGATAAGGCCTTTAATATATAGATCAACAATCTGGATAGTACAGTTGGCGATATTTCGGTGAAATCAAAAAATCTCGCTATTTCGTTGCAATTCCACATCTCATCAATACATAAATTCTTTTGGTTCGAGTATCAGGATAGACTTTAATACTAAATAATAGCAACCACACTGTTCGGTCCAAAGATATATATTTTCTTGTAGGTTTAATATTACCACGCTGCACAAGCGGCAAGCCGTCGCAAGCATGCTTTCTTTGGCAAGTCTATAATGAAATCCGATCCAACTTGCTTGAATTGTAACTCGACACCAGATTATAGAGTAGAACGTCACGATATAAATATTAATTTAAGAGTTCTCTTTACGATTTCTTGTTGCAAATTTACAGTGAATTTCATCACCGAAGTTGCAATTTTAAA